GGGGGCGCCGCGGGCGGGCGATGTGAGCGCGGCGCTCTCGGCAGGTGAGGCGCGCCGGCTGGGGGCGGCGGGCGGCGGGCGAGGAGCCGGCGGAGCGGGCCGGGCCGGGGGCAGCCCTCGGCCGCTGTCCGGCTCCCTCTGGGCGCGGCGGGGCGGGCGCCTCCGCGCCTGGTCAGTCCGGCGGGCCGGCGGGTGGGCGGGCGGCGCGGGCTGCAGCCGAGGCCGGGCGGGGTCGGGAGGCCCGGGCACCTGCTCTGGCCAGGCGCTCGCCCTGGAGGGGCCAACAGTGGTCGGCCCCGGAGTCCGGGCGCCGCTGGCGGGGCCGAGGGTCGCTCGCGGCCAGCTGCCCCGGGCTCCCCAGCCTCCACCCCGGGCGTCTCGGGATCCCATGCTTCCGGGCGCCTTGCCCCCAGGGGCGCTCCCCCTTTGTACGGGGAGGCTGGATGGTTGAGTGCCCTGGAGAGCCTGGCCCGGCCGCGGGGTCGGCCCTGCCAGTGGCTGCAACGGACCCCCTGCCCCACGCCACCGCCTTTCTCCAGGTAAACAGGCGGCGGCGCGTCCTGCTTGGCTCTAGACGTCTCCATGGTCACTCTCGCCCTCATTCGGTCCTGCCATTACGGAGGGCCGGGCTGGGGTTAGCCTCGGGGTGTAAACAGTGTCTTTCTAGCCTGGGCGGCTGTGCTTTAGGGCGGCCCTAGTCTGGGAGTTGTCAAGCCTCTACCACGCTGGGCCTCAGTTTCCCCATCTGATCAGTGAGGGTTTTAGATTAGCTCTCTAGTAACAAACTGTAGATTAGCTCTCTAAAGACCCTTGTGGGTCTGCTCGTCTGTATGTGTCTGAAATTGGAAGGGCTTTCCCAGGGTCAAGATACTGGGCAGTTTCACTGAAGACTTTTTGCAAATGTGGACTTTTTAGTCGCTTAATACACTTGGTTTCAGACAGGCTTTAAAATGATTCCCAGAAGTGTTTCTACGCCTTACCTTAATCATATTTCATCCCTTGCTTTTGTCCCTAGTAGTAGTCAATCACATCTCGCTGAGTTTTTGCATGCAAAATGTTTTTGTTTATATTTGCCCATTTTCTCTTTGTTCCTTAGTCCAGGCCCTCTTTGCTTCACATCTGGATTATTGCAACAGCTTCTTAGTTGGTCTGTGACTTCAGAAGTCCCCCATTTCCCCCCTCCTTCCTTTATGCTAATGCCAAACTTAATATAGGAAGTCAAAAAAAGAGTTGAGTGCTTGCTTGATTATTAAATGTCAAGATGCTGTTCCATGTGGTGGGGGAAAGTATTGGAAGACACATAGCCTCCAAGCAGCTTTACACTGGGTGCTGAGGCTTTACCTGTGAAAAGGTAATTGATTGATGAGACGGGGCTGTGTGCTGTAGAATTAAGAAGGAGGAGAGATGGAGGAGACATTGGAGGTTGAGTGGTCGGGGAAGCCTTAGCGGGGAGGCAGGATTTGAGCTGGCTGTTAAAGGGTGAGTAGGATTCGATAGGAAAAGAGAAATCAGGCCCAGCGTTCCAGTGGAGTTGGGGAATAGACCAGTCTCCTTGTAGAGAAGTATTCATATAGGAAAGGGAATAGGAAGAAAGATTGGTTGGGGCTTGTTCCTGAAAGAACTTGAACACGAGGCCAAAGTTAAAACTGTTCTAACGGCCGTGGTGAGCAGCAGGAGACTAGGGGTGGTTTGTGATAACTTTCAGGAGGGGAAGGGAGAGGCTTGGGGCCAGGAGATCAGCTAACAGGCCAGGCCATGCCATGGCACTGAGTAGTGTCCTCCTGTCTGCCCCATTGTGTCCAGCCACTGCCCACCCTGTTTTTTTTTAAGACTGTCCTTGGTTTGGCCCCTCCCCACCTACCTGAACCTATTCCCTGCTTCGCCCTCTCCCGTCTGTCCTCAGCAGAAGCAAGTTTATGACTGCCTCTAGGGCTTTGCTCCTGTTGTTCCCCCTTCTGAAGTGCTGGCCTCCTTTTTCTTCTCTATGTAAATTCTCCATTTCACTTCCTTCAAGCCCCTGCTGAAGATATACTTCCTCCAGAGGGTGTTCCCTGACTGCCCTACCCCCATGCCTTTGTGGCACTCACAATCTAAAGCTCAGGATTCAGCATTTGTTCCTTGGTTATTGAACTTGTTCTTGTCCCAGCTGGAGTGGGAGCTTTTTGAGGGCATTGTGTCTTAATACTTCTTGTGGAGCCCTGGTGGTATCTAATACGGTAGCCGGACTTTATAAGAGATACTCAAATACTTCCTGATTCTTGTTGGTAAACAACTTAAAAAAATTTTTTTTATTTCCCTCCTTTTTAAAGGGGAATCTTATTACTTACCAGCTTTCTCTGTTATATATCACTTAGGTCTAATGCCATTCAAAGTGGATGTTTTCCGCTTTCATTCTTAGAGCACACAGAGCATAAAACGAATCTTTGAAAGATTAAAAAGTTTACTTTTGATTATGGGAAAGAAAAAAGTCATGTAATTCTTCTGTTGGAGACTGGGGAAAGAATCTCAGCTTTGGAATCAGGCCTGGGTTTGAATCCCAGCAAGGCTACTTACTAGCCTGTGAACTTGGGCAAATTGTATAATGTCTCTGAGCCTGTCTTCTCATCTATAGTGTGGGGATAGTAAAATCCATCTCATAGGGTTGCTAAGAGTTTTAAAATGAAATATATATATATATATATGTATATGAAGGAGGTAGCAGAGTTTGTAGCTCCTATTAACTGCTCAGTACCTCTTCATCATCATCATCAGGTGTAAATTTATCAAGGTGGAGAAATGAGCTGTGGATTTCTACACGTCTCTGGATCCTTTCAGTTGAAGCACTTGTTGAAAATGTCAGTATCCTGAATCTAGAATGTTTTCTTCCCATTCATTTTCATGTTACTTTAGTTGAAATTCTGCTTCATGTTTTTTCAAACTTCTTAATTGTGTCCATTTAATGTTTTATAGCTGACTGCTGAATTTAGCTTAGTGAAGGTCATCAACTGAATGCAGTTTAATATCTAATGGTTATTTTCTGGTTGATATTGATGGCACGGAAAACCTCACGGAAGAAAGCAATTCAAGGTGAGCTTTTCTAATCCTTCTGTCCTAAGAGGGGGGACTTGTTTCCCAGGCCCAGTGTCCCTGGAAATGCCAGCAGTAAGCAGATGAGATGCCACTTATTGACATTTTTGAGTTCTTGGCCTTAAGAAACCTTACTCATTCCTTTACCTGAAACCTACCTTTCTCATTTGGGATGAATTCATGAAACATCTATTTACCCGTTTCATAGAGGTAAAGAGTTGTTTTTGGACAGAAAGGACATCATACAGAAAACTGGCTGCAAACTACTCAAAGCACAACACAGTGTAAACCCTTAATTATCACTGTTTGGTGCATAATGATACATCCTTAAATGAGAATTCTCTTCCCAAAGATCAGTAAGAGTCTGGCACCAGTAAAAACCCTGCATCTCACCAGTGTGCCTGAATTCCCACTCGCAGTACTGACAAATCCAGGTTCAAATCCTGGGCAGTGACCTTGGTTTGGGAAAGGTTCTTCATCTCCCTGAGTTTGTTTCCTCATCTGTAGAATGGGGATAGTTGCACTGTCTGTGTCAGAGTGTTGTCATGAAGTTTCAGTGAATAGGTGAAGAGCTTACTTAGCATGTGGTACACACACTAGGAGAATAACTGTTAGTCGTTCACATTGCACGTGAGGTTACAGAGGCCAGCCCTACCCATCAGGACAGCCCAGAAGAAGCTTCTGATGTTCTGCATTGACTGAAAGACAAACCCCACTGTCAAACCAAACCATACTCTCAGAATTAGTGTAACTGAGCAGACTTGGAGAATGTTAACGCCTTGGTAGGAAATCTTAACAGTTTGGATAAAAATGTTCTTTCAGGCTCACATGAATTAATGCAGTAAGAACTCTAGACTTGTTTTCTTTTAAATTAGGATGAGTGCTTCATGAATATCCATCACGGAATGCCATTTTATTTATTTTTTTCGTGCATTGGGTTTCAGCAGCACCAGAATGTTTTATGCAGCCCTGGTGTTATTCGGCTGCTGCTTTCTAAAGGATTAGATTGTAATTCATGACAGCTCAAGTTTAGTTTTGATCTAGACCCAGGCAGAAATACCTAGAAAAGTTATTTTTATATAGTTGTTACTGCTGTTACCATGCCTGCTGTCCCTAGTGCTTCCATCTGTGGTCTTTTTCATGACTTTTTGTATGGAATGGAAATTAGAGATCTGAGGTCTACCGTGCCTGATAGAGGAAGCCGAGGTTGAGTTGTGGCTCTGGTGTCCGCAAGTGACTGAATCCAGCAGGTGCAGATCTGGGTTTGGAATCATGAGCATCTTGATTGAGAATAATGGGTACCTCTGGTTCCTTAAACCACTCCCAGATTTGTAACCTTGCTTTCTTTTCTTAGAAGTGTCACTGGGTATTTTTAAATGAAGCTGAGCAAATTAGAGTGTTTATGGGTTACATGGGGATGAGCCACCTTGCTAGATTTTGGCCGCTAGGAGGGATGGTCTTGGGTCTTCAGCAGGAAGAATTGAGAGCTGGGGGTGTAGCGATGGTGGCAGCCGGGGATTTTGAGCCCCCAGCTTGGTTCGGGTTGAGTCAGCTGACATGTGCCGAGAGCCCCTCTCTCTGCCAGACACAGTGCTGGGCTCTGGGCACAAGGTCCCTGCCCTCAGCCCACGGCCAAGAGTGTGTGCTCAGCAGCGCATTGCCAGTTGCTTGGATATTATGCTTGCGCTTTTGTTCCAGTTGTTGTTATGGGGAAACACTTCCAGGGTTTTCCCCAAGAATGTTGTAGAGGGGACTGCAAAGCCCATGTGGTGTTTGCCCAGATGGCATTTAAGTGTCCCCTCTCTCATCTTCAGGCTCTCTTCAGAATGGGTTAGCAGCGCAGGAAGGTATCACTAGTCTACATTCTGGTTTTCGTTGTTCAGTTCCCTTACAGCTTTAAAAGAAGGCCCGATGCAGAACCTTATTAATGAAATGTTGTGTTGAGGAGAGGGCCAAGTGTGGGTGTTACCTTGTTCTTGTGACCATGTTCGAGTACCTCTCATAGGAGCAAAGAGCAAAACTTTTCTGCTCTCAGCTAAACTTTTTTCTGTTTCCTCTCTCATCTTACCAGATCAGTTCTCAGTCAATTTTTGGTTACTCCCAAATCAGCATCTAATGTTTCCGTACAGCTCCACCCCCCCCACCGCCCCTTCCCACTACCTGTCAGACAGCTCTACACAGATCCCCAGTGGGCAACCCAGACTCCTCTTGTCTGAGACTGAACTCGCTTGCCTCCCTGAATGGATAGCATCCTGCAGTCTCCCCAAGTCCTGTTGAGTCCTTCTTTGGACTCATGTTTAAGTTGGCAGCTGCCAGTATTGAGTTTGGGTTTTCTAATCTCGTGTTCAAGGCCCTCCACGTCCCGACGGTGGTTTCCCTCTTTGCCCTGTCACCCCTGGAGCCTGGGCCCCAGCCACTACTCCAGACATCTTTCACTCCCTTATTCCCTGCTCCTGCCATCCCTTCTGTTTGAAGTGTTCTTTGTGTTCCATTTGAAATGCAAAGCCCTGTTCACATATTACTAACACCAGGAAGCTTTCTTTTGTTCTGTTTTGATTTCTAAAAAGAACCTTTTTGGTCAAAAGTAATCAGTCTTGTCATTGCTCCCCATAGTTCTTTGTTTCTGCCTCTATAATTGCTTGATATACTAATTATCCCCTTGCAGCTTATCTTTCTCCAGATTCTTTGGTTTACAAAATTATATATTTTTAGGTAGACTCTTACACATGTCTTAAAAAAACTTTTGGTGAGAATAATACAGCTATGTGATAAAACATTCAAAGTATAAAATGAAGCCTGTTTCCCTTCCCTCTCCCCAGTCCTTAATCCTCATTCCCAAAGTCACTGACATTAATAGTTTCATGTGATTCTTTCCAGAGTGGATACAGCAGTGTATATTTATTCTTTTAAGAAAAGTACAGGAAAAGAATCCCACATATGCATACATAATTGTTCTTTATCATGCTGGTTTGGGCTAAGTAATAGAACTCTTTTTATATTGAAGCATACTGATCTGCCTCTCCGTATTAACGGCTGTGTAGTGTTTCATTGTTGATTTTTTGTTTCTGTTGTTGTTTTGAGCCAGTCTCCTCTTGATGGATTTTGAAGTTCTCCTTCTCTCTCTCTCTCTCTCTCTCTCTCTCTCTCTCTCTCTCTCTCTCTTTTGTTATAGCAAATAAAAATGCTTAGTGGGCATCCTTGTTACATATATCCTAACATACTTGTGTAAGGACTGTATATTTGTAGGATCGATTCTTAGCAGTTTAATGGTGGACCAAATGGTGAATGCCTTCTGCATTTTGATCGATCTGACCAGGTTATCCCTTAGGATTACACTTGCCACTTCTTTTTAAATATATGCAAATCTGATGGGTCACAACTGGTATCTCATTTTTTCTTTCTCTAGTTCACATGTGTTTAGTCATGAAGAGAGCTAAACATCTTTTCTTTTTTTTTTTTTAAAGATTTTATTTATTTATTTGAGAGAGAGAGAGAGAGAATGAGAGACAGAGAGCATGAGAGGGAAGAGGGTCAGAGGGAGAAGCAGACTCCCCGCTGAGCAGGGAGCCCGATGTGGGACTCGATCCCGGGACTCCAGGATCATGACCTGAGCCGAAGGCAGTCGCTTAACCAGCTGAGCCACCCAGGTGCCCAGAGAGCTAAACATCTTTTCATGTGTTTTTGGTTATTTGTCTTTTTCTTTTTCTGTGAAATGTTAATTCCTTTGCACCTTCTTCCATAGGATGTTCTGTGTCATCCCGATCTGATTGATTTATAATATAATTCAAGGAATTTGGAGCGTAGCCCATTGTCAAATGCACATGTATTTTTCCTCAATATGTCATTCACTTTTGGGTTTTGCAAAGGGTATTTTTTTGTCCTATTTGTCAGATGTATTGGTCTTCGCCTTTGTGGCTTCTGGGATTTCTGTCATGCTTGGAAAGACCTTTATGTCATTATTATAAATAAATTCATGCTTTTTTTCAGTTAATTTTTGGTGAAAGTCAAGTCTTAAAAAATACTGTCATAAGAACATGCATTAAATGGAAAATAATAGGACCCTCTTTCCCTTCCCTGGTGCTGAGAAATCGGTAAACAGGCAACACCTTTGAAGACTCGTGTTGCTTCCCTTGACTGTGTTTTCTTCCCTTTGAGCATCTAGTGTTGTCATGTGGGAGGGCAGTCATTACCTGTTCAACCTTTTGCTGAAACTCAGTGGGAGGAGCAGGTGAAAGGAAGAGCAGAGTGTCGATTAACTGGTACATCTGTTCGCCCCTGTCAGGATCAGTCCTATCTGCGGGACTGTGGCTCTGCTGCCTTTGCGAAGTAGCTTTTCTATTCTAAAGCTCCTTCAGGTAAAATGCATTTGTTCTTACTGAGCTTTGGAACCCAGATTAGGGGTAAGATTCCCATGCTGAGTTTCAGAACAGGGTCTTGCCCTGACGCATGGGTGTGGTGAGATGTTCTGTAGCTTTTTTGGGTGGGATCTTGTGGAGATTTCAAGCATCTTTACTAACCAAGCCTCGTTGTCATGTGGTCTTGCATCGGATCTTAGTTTTCTTTTCAGAGCACGCATGCATGTTTATCTCTAGGACCCCTCTCCTGACCTCAGGTCTGTGGGAGGAGCATCCCAGGTTGACCTGTACACAGGTCATGCAGTGTGGCTCTCCCCTGTGGCTTGTGGCCACAGTGCCTCCCTGTGGAAACGTCCTCCCTTCTCTGGTTGCCCAGTGTGCCTTCACTCCCCAGTGTGCATCCGTTTTCTTCCTGAACCTGCTCCTTCTCCACTCCTCATGGTTCCGGCCTACCCCTGGCCTGCACTGGCCTTGCTGCTGGCCTCGGTGCTTGGTCAGTCCTGGATGGCCCCTCCCAGTCTGCTCTGGCTTTTTGAAGACCAGTCCCAACGCTGCTTAGAATTCCGTTGAACTTGGGCTGAACCTGCGTCTTGGCAGCATCTGCTCTGTGACTTCCACCTTTAAACACCAAAAGGACCAGTTACT